ATGCAAGAGAGCACACCTCCTAACTCCCACAAAAAATATTCTGTCATGGTACAACATGGGAAGAGGAAGGACAGAAAGAGGCATCAATAGATACAACAAAAGTACTGTGTATAATGTCTATATAGACATGCTAATCCCAAAATATCAACCCCGATGGGTCAACGTAAATACTGTACTCACATTAAAAGAGGAGGTATTTCCTCCTCTGAGAAGTGTGGCAAAATAGTAAGAACTTAGTTGATACTTGGACAATCAAAAGCAGGTATGGGCAAACTTTGGTCCTCCAGGTGTTTTGGACTTCAGCTCCCATCATTCCTAACAACCACTAGGCTGTAAGGGATTGTCAGAGTTGAAATCCAAAACACTTGGAAGGCCGAAGTTTGCCCATGCCCAATCTAAAGGAAACACCAGCCTCCTCTATGTTCTCTGCTATGATTGGAGGATCCTAAGTGTTCTCTTTAGGAATCTCTAGATCCTCCAGCATGTCTCTATGGCCAATGTCCAGTGGAAGCTGACCTTAGATTGGAAGACCTAAAGATTGTGGAGGGTTGGCTGTATTATCCAGTATCACTAGATAGCTTAGTGGGATACAAGCATTTTGGACTAAAGGTCTCATCATCCCCCAGCTGGCATGGACATTGTAGTTCAGTGCTTTCTGGAAATGGGTGACCACTTTGTAGATCCCTATTTGAGCTCATGGTTTACCCCAGTAATGGTAGAGAGTTGGACTGGATGGCTCTTCAAACTCTAAGTTTCTATGATGTTATGATTCTAAGGACTCTCAACTGTCTGAAAGAAAGCTATAAAATCATGGAATGGAAAAAGACCTCAAGGGTCATCCAGTCCAACTCCATTCCATGCGGGAACAAAGGCTTAAGCCTATAAAGCCCTAAAACAGTGGTTCTCAACCTATTGGGTCCCCAAGTGTTTTGGCCTACAATTCACAGAAATCCCAGTCAGTTTACCAGCTGTTAGGATTTCTGGGATTTGAAGGCCAAAACATCTGGGGACCCATAAGTTGAGAACTACTGCCCTAAACAGTTCCAGCCCACCTTATCTGTCCAAACGTACCTCCCTCAAGAACCATCTCAGAGGTTAAGATCATCCGAGGAGGCCCTGATCTCGATCCCATACCCCTCGCAGGCGTGACTGGAACAGTTCCAGCCCACATTATCTATCCAAACATATCTCCCTCTATGAACCTTCTCAGAGGTTAAGATCATCCGAGGAGGCCCTGTTCTCGATCCCACCCCCCTCGCAGGCGCAACTGGTGGGGATGAGAGACAGGGCTTTCTTAGTGGTGGCCTCTCAGCTACGGAACTCCCTCCCAATGAAATTAGATCAGCACGCTCCCTCCTGACCTTCAGGAAGAAAACGAAGACATGGCTGTGGGACCAAGCCTTTGGGCAATGATTCCCAGTGCAATAATGATCTCTCAGTGCAATAATGAATAGTGCAAGTGATAACTGACATGGCCCCTAGAATATGCTTTTGGATTGTGTGACTTTATGTAGTTGTTTTAAGTTTGATGTGTTTTAATTATGTGATTTTATAGTATATGTTGTTTTATTCTATATATGTATACATGACATCAAATTGTACCTTCGTTGTGAGCCACCCTGAGTCCCTTTCAGGGTAAGAATAGCGGGATATAAAGCCAGTAAATAAATACATCAAAACACTACTGGCAGATGGACGTCCAATCTGTATTGTCCAAGACTTTCATGGCTGGAATCACTGGGTTGTTGTGTGTTTTCCAGGCTGTATGGCCATGTTCCAGAAGCATTCCCTCCTGATGTTTCGCCTGCATCTATGGCAGGAATTCTCAGAGGTTTTGAGGTCTCATAACCTCTGAGGATGCCTGCCATAGATGCAGGCAAAATGTCAGGAGAGAATGCTTCTGGAACAAGGCCATACAGCCCAGAAAACACACAGCAACCTGTCCAGTCTCTGTTTAGAAATCTCTAGAGAAGGTGACTCCACCACACTCTGGATTGGTCTAAGCCATAGTTCCCTAATATAAGAACTTCACGCATTAGATTAGCATGGCCAACTTCCAGGGTTGGGGAAGCAGCCCTGTTTCCTGTGGAAACACATTCTCCCCTATTGTTTCACCTTGTTGTTGCTGCTGTTGTAGTGTGCATTAAAGTCATTCTCAAGTAATGCTGATCTACAGCCTCCCTATCATGAACTTTTCCTTGCATAATTTCTCCCCCAAAGTTTTGCAATTGCCTTTTTCTAAGACTACAGGAGCATGACCAGTCCATGCTCAAACTCTGTGAGTTTCCATAGCTTAAGAGGCTATTTCAGTCCTGGTCTCCTATGGTACTAATCCAGTACTCAAAACACTACACCACACTGACTCTGTTTAACTTTTTGCAAAAATAACTCCCACAAAAAAAAGATTGCCTTTGATCTTCCCTACATGGTTTTAGGCCCAGAAGAAGCTTTTTCAAGGCAGGAAATAAATCAGAACCCAACAACAAAAAGTCGAAGCCAGCATGGACTATGACTCTGGAGACCAGGTTTCAATTTGCTACTTGGTCATGGAAACCCATTGGGTGACCGTAGATTAGTCACTCTCAGTCCCAGAAAACTCTGTCACAACTTCATGTTAGCGTTGACATGAGTCAGAAATGACTTGAAGACAACAAACAGGTAATTTGAGGTTGTAAAAATGCCAAAAACTATCTCCCCTACTGTGCCAGCAGCTTTGAGGGATCTCAAATTGACCCATGAGCCACATTTTCTCCACCTCAAGCCAAAACTCTTATCTACGTGTGTGTGGTGGATGGTGCTGTTGTTTTGTCACTGCACATACTTCAAGGCCAATACTGTTAAAAATCTGGGTTGCTGTGAGTTTTCTGGGTTGTTTAATGCGAGAGATGTGAGAGGATCCCTCTTGTCCTTTGCTGAACTCCTCTGCAGGAGGCTACCGTACACAATGTAGCTGCAGATAACTCTACATAGGGATCACCAAACGCATCATGGCCCAAACATGAATCAAGGAACATGAAAGGCACTGCAGACTAATTCAACCAGAGAAGTCAGCCATAGCAGAGCACCTGATGAACCAGCCTGGACACAGCACATTATTTGACAACACAGAAATGCTGAACTACTCTAACAACAACCATATCAGGCTACACAGAAAAGCCACTGAAATCCACAAGCATGTGGACAATTTCAACAGAAAGGAAGAAACCATGAAAACAAACAAAATCTTCCTACCAGTATTTTAAAAACCTCTAAAATAAAAACATTAAATAAAGAGCAAGACTCAAAAAGCAGGGGAATTCCAGACAAGAAACAATCAGGGCCAGCTAATCACCTCCCAACAAAGGATTCCCCCAAGCAGTAAGCAGCCAGACCTTGAAACTGCAAGCAGGCCCGTAGTCAGGATTTCGTTTTTGGGGGGGGGTGAATTTTTTTCAGGGGGGGTTCGGGGGGGCTGAGGTTTGGGGGGGGGGGGCTGAGTCTGAGTAAGAGGGTATATAAGCAAAGTAAATAAATAAATAAATAAATAAACTAAATTGAAAGAGGGTCTACCCTAGCAAACCTTTTGTATCGTTACCCCAATACCCCCATGCATATGGGATATATTGAGCATGGTGATCAGATCATGATATGAATAAACATAACAGTTTAAATAATGCACCAGTAAGGCCTTTTCGCGAACCACCATGAGAATTTCGGGGGGGGGGGGCTGAAGCCCCTCAAGCCCCCCCCCCCCCCGCTACTGCCGGGCTTTTAGAAGGAAAATCAAGACCTGGTTATAGGACCAAGCATTCAACCAGTGAGCAACTAGTGGAAGAAGTCTTAGCAACTTATGGCAATGAATTGACCCGGACTGGATTTTGGACTCTGATTTTAATAGAAGTGTGTTAATCAATTGTTTTGATCGCTGTTTTAATATTTTAATGTACTGCTGGTTGTTTATGATGTTGGCACCGCATGGTGCTTTTGTGAGGCCGCCCTGAGTCTCCCCTCGGGGGTGAGAAGGGCCAGGTATAAATATAGGAAACAAACAAACAAATAAATAATCAAGGTGGCCAACTGCAACATTCGCACCTGCCTCAAACAGACAAGAGTTCTTTCTCCCACCCTGGACATTCCACAGATGCATAAACCCCACTTGCCTAGTTTCCAACAGACCCCACGACCTCTGAGGATGCCTGCCATAGATACAGGTGAAATGTCAAGAGAGAATGCTTCTGGAATATGGCCATACAGCCTGGAAAACTCACAGCAACTCAGTGATTCTGGCCATGAAAGCCTCCGACAATACAGTTAAAAATCTGTTGACTTCTCTTTAAAACTGCTCTCCATGACACCAACAAAACACAATACAAAGGAAAAGCATTTTCAAAAGCAGCCTGCTTTGCTCATGCTAAATGTGTGCTCTTTTGAGATAACACTTTATAAAAAGGAAACTAATACCAGCTGTAAAACAGCAAACCATTAACTATTGATTGGCACCTCTTTGAACAACAATGTTTATAAAACCATTTATGCTGGTGTTCCAGGGCAATGGTTAAATGGGGGGAACTTTTAGAGTACTCTCAGCCCTTTGTTTCCATGGATTGTGCATCCGAGGACTCCAACATCCATGGCTTGAAAATATTCCCTCCCAAAAAAAAAAAAAAAATTCACAGAGGGCTCTGAAACCAAACCACAGCAAATACCAAGAGCCCACTGTATAACACCTACTGGCAACAAGAAACTAGACATTTTTCGAAACAGACATTGAGTGAGATCACAAGACATTGATTCTACAGCACAAATTACACATTGCCCAGATGGGAACAGGAAAGCTTGGAAGCCTAGCTGTGGCAAAGAGTTAGACGTGGAATCCTATCTACTTCTTGTGAGCTAACTACTTGCCTACTTGGGCAAAAGTAACTCAAAGCTATAGCCAATTCATGGCAAGCTCCTCCCACCAATACACAGAAAAGATGATCACCACTGTGGTAGAATATGAATATGAATATGAATGTGGTAGAATATGAAACCATCCTCAATTTCTCCCCACCTACACAGAGGGAACTGGTATCTGCTTAGCAGAAGTACTGTCGTAATGCCGCACCAGGTCATTAGTTGTATGATAGTGCATGGCAATGTAAGACTTGGCGAACCCGAACGGAGAGTTTGTTGGCTGCAAGCTGTTGGGTGTGCTCACTTCTTGGGATGGGCAGCTGTTATAAATGCTATAATAAGGTTCGATGCGAGTGTTCATGGGGGTGGAGCTACTCTGGCCTCCATAATGCTGGTGGCCACCAGACCCTTTAGGGCTCAGCACACTCTCTTTAGAGTGACTAGGGCCACATGCTTGGTCCACAAACTTCTTCTGAGGCTTTGGAGACAGCATGTACGCCGAGTTGGTCTCATGATGGGACGACTTGTTTCTGTTGGCCTCCAAGCTCCCTTTGCCCATGGCCCGGAGCCTGGTTTTCTGCTTGCAACAGAAGAAGGCAAGGGTGAAGTACTGGAGGCACCAAAGGACCCTCCTTCTCAACCCAGCACTGTTACGGGAATATATAAAAGGATTTAATCCAGATTTGAGAAAGATTAGTGTAAGTCCACACAGTTCAAATTGGTAGAGGATAAAGCCATTGTTCCTGGACAGAACGTCTTGCACTAAAGAGATGCCCAATGGGAGGCAGCAGACCAAAACAGAAAGGACAATGACAACGCATGTCACCACAGCTTTAGAGTCCTTGACTGTGGACAAATTAACTGTGGAGACCAGCTGGAACCGCCTGGTTGCCGGGGCAGACAGTGGGCCTGGGTTCTTTGTGTAGGTGTGGGTCTGGATGTGATGCAGTTTGTTGTAGTTTTGATTTCTATACAGTGCTGGCACAGCACACTGTACACCATCCACACATCCAGCAGCAAGTGGCCCATTGAAAGGCTGAGGCCTGGAGGCATCCACTGTGATGACAGGTGGGCACTTCCGTACTTGGGCATTCCTCCTCAACGCCTGGGCAATCATGATGTATGAGACCGAAACCACTGCCACGCAGAAAATGAAGTCGATGACATACAGGTAAGGGATGATGTCGCCTTCACTATTGACCAGGCTGGAGATGGGAAGACAGAGTCGGGATTTATGGGTCCTCAGAGTGGCCAGGGCAGCAAGAGTGAAGCTTGTGGCCCACAGGAGGAGAGCCAGCAGGAGAGTGCAAGGGAAAGAGGTGGCCCGGTTGGGCTGCTTCCCTAACACCATGCGTAGGCGGTGCAAGGCTATGACGGCCACCGTCTTGAGGGACATGATGATGAAGCCAGAGCTGGTGAGGTGGAAGGTGAAGCATAACGCATCAGGGATCCCAGCTGCAGAGTCCAGGAAGAGAGCAAAGGCGAACATGGGGGACGTCACTCCGCAGATGAAGAGGTCACAGAACGACAGGTTGAGGATCATGAAGTCAAAGTTGGTCCTGAACTTACGGTAGGCTGGGTCAAAGAAGGACAAGAAGACAATGAGGTTGCCATAAGAACCCAGGCAGAAGATGACTGCCAGCAGGAGTGTACATGTCACCAGCGTGGCCGTGTGGATGATCTCCTGGAGATCCCCTCGGAAAGAAAAGGTGGTGTTGTCTCTCCAAGGAGGTGGAGGCAGTTGTGAGGAGGAATTGGAGTGACCTCTCCATCTCGCCTCCGACCACTTTGTCAGGTTCATTCTCACAGGAAGAAATGCTCCACTGCACCGGCACTTCAGCATCAAGCATCTCACGTTAGAAATTTGAGATCCATGGTGGATGAAGTCTGTAGGAACAAACATAATCCCCCTTAACCCAAAAATAATTTAACATGAAAGTAGGAGAGATAATATCTAGCCTTTATGCATCTTTAATAGCTGTATTGTCTGCCAAATGAGAAAAGGAAAGTAGTCCTTAAGTGTATAAGAGCAATCTTGTTGATAACTTTATTGGAAAGTACTAGCTCTCAAGCCTATTTTTAAGCATATATAGAGAAAAAGAAACTGGATATTTTGATCCAAAGTCGTTCAAAAACAAACTGCTACTTGCTGGACTTTTTTTTCACTTGTGTTTAAGGTCCAATGGCAAAGACAATTTCCACCAAGGCACACAACTGCATCCCTCTTGGATATCTCTGGCCAAGACCTAACAAAAACATAGTGAGGAACTGTAGGTGTTGCATCCGATTTTTGAAAAATCAGAAGCCACAATTTCTTACTCTAATTTTGAAATACTTTGATTTTAATTCTTGGGGGAAAGACAGAAATAGAGGTTAAAATACATACTATACAGTTCGCTCTTCGCATTCATTGAGGTTAGAGCAGGGATGGGCAAATTTTGGCCCTCCAAGTGTTTTGAACTTCAACTCTCACAATTCCTGACAGCCTACTGGCTGTTAGGAATTGTGAGAGTTGAATTCCAAAACACCTGGAAGGCCGAAGTTGGCCCATGCCTGGGTTAAAGGCACAGGACCACCATAAAAATGAAAAACTACAAATAGCTAATTTCTAAGTCTTCCAGCATGACACTATGGTCAACATTTGCTGGGAGCTGACCATATAACCATACTGGAGGTCACAAAGATTCCTGGAGAGATGTTCTCTCTAGCAATCGCTAGGTCATTGGTTCTCAACCTGTGGCTCCCCAAATGTTTTGGCCTTCATCTCGCAGAAATCCTAACAGCTGGTAAACCAGCTGGGATTTCTGGGAGTTGTAGGCCAAACACCTGAGGACCCACAGGTTGAGAACCACTGATCTAGGCCCCCCAGCATGGCTGGAGGAAACTAATTATAAAAAGTACACTGATCAGGTTTTTACAGAGGAAGGGAAAAGCCTTGCAATTCAAGGGGTCTGTAAGACCCCCCCACAGACAGTGCCAGGAGGTCAGCAGGAGAAGCTGAGGCCCTCTCCAGCCATCCATCCATCCATCCCTCTGTGCCTCCATCTATGTATGTATGTATGTATGTATGTATGTATGTATGTATGTATCTATCTATCTATCTATCTATCTATCTATCTATCTTCCTTCTCTCTATCCATCCACCCCTTTATCCATGCATCTCTCCATCCTTTCATCCCTCCCTCCATCTCTCTATACATCCCCCATCTGTCTAACTATCCTTCCATCCCTCTATGCACCCATCCATCCCTCTATACATCATATTGGTATCTATCCACTTGTATATCCATGACTCCCTTCATTCCTCATCTATTAATTCCCTTTTATGCATACCTCCTTATATATATATCCCCCTATCCCTTTATGTATCCATCCTTCTATCCATCCATCTATCTACCTGTCCCTCCATACATCTTTCTATTTCTGTATCTGTCCATCCCTCTCCACATCATCCCTCTATTACTGCGGTTCCCAACATTTGGCCCTCCAGGTCTTTTGGACTTCTGCTCCCACAGTTCCTAACAGCTGGTAAACTGGCTGGGATTTCTGGGAGTTGAAGTCCAAAACACCTGTAGGCCCAAAGGTTGGGAACCACTGCTCTATTGCATCTACCTGTACTTCCATTATCTGGGCCAAGGCCACTAGGGGTTGCTAGGGAGAGAAGGATACTTTATTTTATGGAGGGAGGATTGAAGGATTTCCCCCATTTCCCTCAGTGTTTGCTGGTGATTCCCCCCTTCCCATATCATAAATAACCATCCTGCTTATTTCCAGGATGGGACATAGGTTGGGGGGGGGGGGGGACGACAAGAAACAGGGGAAAATTATTTTCTGCCTTCAACCTACTATCCACCCCATAAAGTAGACTATCTTTCTCTCTCTCTAGCGGCCCCTAGTGGCTTCCGCCTGGATAATGGAACAGTACCCATCTACCCATCCTTCTAAAATGCCTCCATCCCTCATCCCTCCCTCCATCTATCCATGCATCTCTCTATGCACTCTCCACTTGTATCTATCCATCTATCTATCCATTTCTGTACCTATCCATGCATCCAACCATCCCTCCTCCAACTCCGTATCTATCCATCCGTCTGCCCTTCTATTTATCCCTCTATTTCTGTATCTATCTATGCATCCAACCATCATTCTGACCATCACTCCTCCACCTCTGTATCTACCCATCCATCTGTCCATCTGTCATTCCGTTTCTGTACCTATCCATGCACCCAACCATTGATCTGACCATCCCTCCTCCTTCTCTGTATGTATCCATCTATCTATCCTTCTATTTATCCTTCTTTCTGTATCTATCCATGCATCCAACCATCACTTTGACCATCCCTCCTCCAACTCTGTATCTCTCCATCCATCTGTCTATCTACCAATTTCTGTATCTCTCTATGCATCCAATCATGGCTCTGATCATCCCTCCTCCAACTCTGTATCTATCCATCCATCTGTCTGTCTATTAATTTCTGTATCTATCCATGCAACCAACTATTGCTTTGACCCTCCCTCCTCCCTTTCTGTATTTATTTATCCATCTATCTATCCTACTATTTATCAATTTCTGTATCTATCCATGCATCCAGTCATCACTTTGACTATCCCTCCTCCATCTCTGTATTTATCAATCTATCTATCCTTCTATCTATCAATTCCTATATCTATCCATGCATCCAATCATCGCTTTGACCATCCCTCCTCCATCTCTGTATTTATCCATCTATCTATCCTTATATCTATCTATTCCTATATCTATCCATGCATCCAATCATCGCTTTGACCATCACTCCTCCATCTCTGTATTTATCCATCTATCTATGTATCTATGTATCTATGTATCTATGTATCTATGTATCTATGTATCTATGTATCTATCTATCTATCTATCTATCTATCTATCTATCTATCTATCTATCCATTTCTGTATCTAGCCATGCATCCAACCATCACTTTGACCATCCCTCCTCCAACTTTGTATCTCTTCAGCCATCTGTCTATCTACCAATTTCTGTATCTCTCTATGCATCCAATCATGGCTCTGACCATCCCTCCTCCATCTCTGTATCTCTCAATCCATCTCTGTCTAATAATTTCTGTATCTATCCATGCATCCAACTATTGAACTGACCATCCCTCTTCCATCTCTGTATCTATCCATCCTTCTATTGATCCATTCCTATATCTATCCATGCATACAACTATCGCTTTGACCATCCCTCCTCCATCTCTGTATTTATCCATCTATCTATCTATCCTTATATCTATCCATTCCTATATCTATCCATGCATCCAACCATTGCTTTGACTATCCCTCCTCCATCTCTGTATTTATCCATCCGTCCGTCCGTCTGTCTATCTATCTATCTATCTATCTATTTCCGTATCTAGCCATGCATCCAACCATCACGTTGACCATTCCTCCTCCAACTTTGTATGTCTTCATCCATCTGTCTATCTACCAATTTCTGTATCTCTCTATGCATCCAATCATGGCTCTGACCATCCCTCCTCCAACTCTGTATCTATCCATCCATCTATCTGTCCATTAATTTCTGTATCTATCCATGCACCCAACAATTGATCTGACCATCCCTCCTCCATCTCTGTATTATCCATCTATCTATCTATCCGTATATCTATCCATTCCTATATCTATCCATGCATCCAACCATTGCTTTGACCATCCCTCCTCCACCTCTGTATTTATCAATCTATCTATCCTTCTATCTATCCATTCCTATATCTATATGTGCATCCAACCATTGCTTTGACCATCCCTCCTCCATCACTCTATCTATCTATCTATCTATCGATCTATATCTAGCCATGCATACAACCATCACTCTGACCATCCCTCCTCCAACTTTGTATCTCTCCATCCATCCATCTATCTACTAATTTCTGTATCTCTCTATGCATCCAATCATGGCTCTGACCATCCCTCCTCCAACTCTGTATCTATCCATCCATCTTTCTGTCCATTAATTTCTGTATCTATCCATGCACCCAACCATTGATCTGACCATCCCTCCTCCATCTCTGTATCTCTCCATCCATCTGTCTATTTATTTCTGTATCGATCCATGCATCCAACCATCACTTTGACCATCCCTCCTCCATCTCTGTATTTATCCATCTATCTAGCCTTCTATCTATCCATTCCTGTATGCATCCATGCATCCAACCATCGCTTTGATCATCCCTCCTCCATCTCTGTATCCCTCCATCTATCTATCCTTCTATCTATCTACTTCTGTATCTATCCATGCACCCAACCATGGCTCTGACCATCCTTCCTCCATCTCCGTATCTCTCTCCTTCTATCTATCCATCCCTCTATTTCTATCTCTATCCATGCATCCAACCAACCCTCGCTCTGTGCATCCCTCATCTATCCCTGCATCCCTCTCGCCTTCCCTCCTCTGTGTATACAGTCCTCTCTCTGTGTATCTCTCCTTCCATCCTTCCTTCCATCCATCCATCCCTCCTCCATCCCCGTCCCCCGCAGAGGCCCCCTCCTTACCCAACGCTGCTCCTGGAAAAAGGAAGAAGGAGAAGAGGAGAAGGAGGAAGAGAAGGAGGAAACGAGGGCGCCTGGGCCGGGGCTGAAGTCATGGCCGCGTCGGGGGCAGGAGGGGCTGGCTCTGCACCTTTAAGAGGAAGAATAGGAGGAGGAAGAGGAAGAGGGGTGGGCTTTGTCGCCAGGGTCTGTCTGGCCAGGTCCCCCCTCCCTGCCCTGCGCCACAGCAGCACCAGCATCACCAGCAAGGCTTCCTCTCCTCCTCCTCCTCTTTCTCCTCCTCCTTCCTGGCTGTCCACGATCTCGCGTGTGTGTCCCCCTTTGGGTGGCGAGTGGGCGTGCGAAGGAACAGGGCCAGGGCACGCGCGGCACAGAGAGAGAGAGAGAGAGAGAGAGAGAGAGAGAGAGAGCGGCGTCACGCGTGGAAAGGGCAGCGGAGGATGCGCACCAAGAGGGAGGCGCCACTCCTTGGAAGGGAAGAGGGAAGGTGGGGAGATGGGACACCCACAGGACTGCCCATCAGGTGTAGGTGCAGAAAGGAAGACAGCCAGGGGAAGAGACCCCCAAGGACCACCCAGTCCAGCTCCTTACTGCCAGGTCGGAACTAACACACTGCCCAAGCACTCTCTGGGTGGAGATGGCCCTCCAGCCTTGGCTTGAAAGCCTCCAGAGAAGAAGACCCCACCACCTTCCAAGGCAGATACTCCACTGCTGGAAAGCTCTTACCCTCAGGAGCAGGCATGAGGAAATTTGGGCCCTCCAGATGTTTTGGACTTCAATTCCCACCATTCCTAAAAGCCTCGGGCCGTTCCTTTTTCCTCTCAGCTGTTTAAGTGAAAAGGAAGGGGCCTGAGGCTGTTGGGAATGGTGGGAATTGAAGTCCAAAACATCTTGAGGACCCAAATTTGCTCATGCCTGCTCAAGACGTTATTCATAATATTCATTATTGTATACAGTCCCACCTCTTCTCTGTCTCAAGTTTGGTTTGTAGAGACAACAGAGAGAGCCTTCTCAGTGGTGGCCCCCCATTTTTGGAATGCCCTCCCAAGGGAGATCAGGCTAGCCCCCACCCACCAAAGCTTCCGCACACAATTAAAGACCTGGCTTTTCCGACAAGCGTTCAACCAAGTTGAGACTCTCAAGTACATTGTTTCTCAAACTAGGGGTTGGGACCCCTGGGGGGGAGTCAGGTGGGTCGCCAAAGACAGTATATTTTGGTTGTCATGGGGGTTCTGTGTGGGAAGTTTGGCCCAATTCTGTCATTGGTGGGGTTCAGAATGCTCTTTGTAGGTGAACTATAAATCCCAGCTAGCTACAACTCCCAAATGTCAAGGTCTATTTTCCCCAAACTCCACCAGTGTTCACATTTGGGCATATTAGGTATCCCTGCTAAGTTTGGTCCGGACCCATCATTGAAAGTATACTATAACTATAACTATACCTAAACTATAACTCCAAAACTCAAAGTCAATGCCCATCAAACCCTTCCAGTATTTTCTGTTGGTCATGGGAGTTCTGTGTGCCAAGTTTGGCCCAATCCTATCATTGGTGGGGTTCAGAATGTTCTTTTATTGTAGGTGAACTATAAATCCCAGCAACTACAACTCCCAAATGTCAAGGTCTATTTTCCTCAAACTCCACCAGTGTTCACATTTGGGCATATGATGTATTCATGACAAGTTTGGTCCAGATCCGTCATTGTTTGGATCCACAGTGCTCTACCTGAATGTGGGTAAACTACAACTCCAAAACTCAAGGTCAATGCCCATCAAACCCTTCCAGTATTTTGTGTTAGTCATGGAAGTTCCGGGAGCCAATTTTGGTTCAATGCCATCATTGGTGGAGTACTTTTTGATTGTTGGTTAACTATAAATCCCATCAACTGCAACTCCCAAATGACAAAATCAACCCCCACCAACCCCACCAGTATTCAAATTTGGGTGTATTGGGTATTTGAGCCAAATTTGGTCCAGTTAATGAAAATACATCCTGTAGATCAGAAATTTACATCCTGACTCATAACAGTAGCAAAATTACAGTTATGAAGTAGCAACATGAGGAACTGTATTAAGAGGAGCAATGGCCAAACTCGATAAAATAGTGAAGAGTTGAGACATCACACTGGCAACGAAGATCCACATAGTCAAAGAAATCATATTCCCCGTAGTAACCTATGGATGCGAGAGCTGGACCATAAGGAAGGCTGAGCGAAGGAAAATAGATGCTTTTGAACTATGGTTTTGGAGGAAAATTCTGGGAGTGCCTTGGACTGCGAGAAGATCCAACCAGTCCATCCTCCAGGAAATAAAGCCTGACTGTTCACTGGAGGGAAGGGTAGTAGAGGTAAAGATGAAATACTTTGGCCACATAATGAGAAGACAGGAAAGCTCGGAGAAGACAATGATGCTGGGGGAAATGGAAGGAAAAAGGAAGAGGGGCCAACCATGGGCAAGATGGATGGATGGTATCCTTAAAGTGACTGACTTGACCTTGAAGGAGCTGGGGGTGGCGACGGCTGGTTTTGGCATGGGCTGTTCCATGAGGTCACAAAGAGTTGGAAGCTACTAAATGAACAAACAACAGAGTCTCTTCTTCTCTAGTTGGAATTTATTTATACTCTGCCTTTCTCTCAAAATGGGAAATAGTGATTAATAAATGTTAGATAGATAAACAGACAGACAGATAATGGAGGGAAGATAGATAGATAGATAGATAGATAGATAGATAGATAGATAGATAGATAGATGGTAGATAAACATTGCATTTATACCTCACCTTCTCCCACAATGGGAGATGGTGATTGATAACAGACAGACAGACAGACAGACAGATTTGTTGTTGTTCATTCATTCAGTCATTTCCAACTCTTTGTGACCTCATGGATCAGTCCACACCAGAGCTCCCTGTCGGCTGTCACCACCCCCAGCACTTCAAGGATGCCATCCATCCCTTGCCCTTGGTCAGTCCCTCTTCCTTTTTCCTTCCATTTTCCCCAGCATAATTGTCTTCCTAGATAGATAGATAGATAGATAGATAGATACAGGATGGAAGGTAGATATATCGATAGATGATAAAGATTGCATTTATACCATGTCTTTCTCCCACAATGGGAGACGGTGATTAATCAATTAGATAGATACATAGATGATTGATAGATCATAGAATCATAGAGTTGGAAGAGACCTCATGGGCCATCCAGTCCAACCCCCTGCCAAGAAGCAGGAATATTGCATTCAAATCACCCCTGACAGATGGCCATCTAGACTCTGTTTAAAAGCTTCCAAAGAAGGAGCCTCCACCACACTCCGGGGCAGAGAGTTCCACTGCTGAACGGCTCTCACAGTCAGGAAGTTCTTCCTAGTGTTCAGATGGAATCTCCTCTCTTGTAGTTTGAAGCCATTGTTCCGCGTCCTAGTCTCCAAGGAAGCAGAAAACAAGCTTGCGCCCTCCTCCCTGTGGCTTCCTCTCACATATTTATACATGGCTATCATATCTCCTCTCAGCCTTCTCTTCTTCAGGCTAAACATGCCCAGCTCCTTAAGCCGCTCCTCATAGGGCTTGTTCTCCAGACCCTTGATCATTTTAGTCGCCCTCCTCTGGACAGATATATAGACATAGATACATAGATGATAGATAGATAGATAGATAGATAGATAGATAGTAGGTAGATACTGCATTTCTCCCCTGCCTTTCTCCCATAATGGGAGATTGTGATTAATAGAGGATGATAGGGAGGTAGTAGGTATCTATCTGTGTCCCAGAATGGTACCAGATAGACAGACTGACTGAACTTTGTCAGGGCAGAAGGATGCAGATCACCCAGTAATAATTTGGTTGTGTCCTTGATGTTTTTAAAGTTCGCAGGAGTGACTCACGCATCGTTTATGTCCTTGTGTCATAGCAACAGCTGTGTACGTTATCAGTCATTGACACACAGGCTCCTCCATCATATGCCAGGTCACTGAAAATCAGGTGAAGACAGGCAGCATCACTGGCTGTGGCACAGGAAACAGAAATATCTAGGTCAGAGAGAGGACAAGGCCTTAGAGCAGCTGACCGTGGGGTAGAAAGCACCTTCCCTAAATGCACTTCCACTGGCTGCGTGGATTGCATACTGGTGAAGAGAAGCAGACTGGAACCCACCACAGTCACCCAGGTGGCATTAAAACAGCAGTGCCACGGGGGCCTGCGTGCAAAATAATCGGATCCTTTGCCCCCAACGTTTCACAGATTAAACCTGGAATACTCACAAACATTAACAATTAATGAAGAAGACACAAGTTAGGACCAACTGCAGCCATTTGCTTTTGCCTGGGCTTACTGGAAAGGAGGAGTCAACCCACTTCTCTTATCACCCTGAATACAAACTACTTTTGCACACTGTATTGTCGAAGGCTTTCATGGCCGGGAACACTGGGTTGTTGTAGGTTTTTTCGGGCTATATGGCTATGTTCTAGAGGCATTCTTTCCTGACGTTTTGCCTGCATCTATGGCAAGCATCCTCAGAGGATGCTTGCCATAGATGCAGGCGAAACGTCAGGAGAGAATGTCTCTAGAACATAGCCACATAGCCCGAAATAACCTACAACAACCCTACTTTTGCACAATTTGTTGCTTACTTACTTACACATTATATATCTTCCTCCCGATATTTAAACATGCCAGGGAAGCATGATGTGAAATAAAATCCATTTAAAATAATTCGAACAGACTAAGGGCATATTAATAGTATGGATTAAAACAAACCCAGTTAAAAATCAGACACAAATCAATGGATTCAGATTACATGAAAAAAGATTCTGCCTAGACATTGGGAAGAAACCTTTACTCAATGGTGGAATAGGCTGCCTCGGAGAGTGGACTCCTTGCATTTGGAGGTCGTTAAGCAGAGGCTGGATGGTCATCTTTTCAGAGTGTTGTAACTGTGAATTAGTGCATAGCAGGAGCTTAGGACTAGATGGTCTTGGCTTTCGCTTTCAATGACTGTTAATTCTGTGAAATCAGCAGAAACTTTCCTGACATTGAGACATTTCCTGACATTTAGCATTCCTGGAACCTCCCTGATTAATCCATCTGTGTATTGTTGAAGTCTTTCATGCCCAAATCATTGGGTTGTTCTGAGTTTTCCAAGCTGTATGGCCATTTTCCAGAAGCA